CCACTGCAATAAATGTCAAATTTTACATTCCAACCACTCATACACTTTACCACTATTTCCTTGCTTACAAGTTTTGGGAACATTATCATGACACAACACCTCAACACCTGACACAGTCATCCCACTTTGCTGTCTTTGGTCTCACAGTAGAACACGACTGATTCTCTATTAATCAGCTGCAGGTCTTAGCATTTTCATAAAATTTGGCAAGATGACACCTGATCTTCTTCTGGAAGTCCAGCAGTGCTCCCTTTAACACAGTGGCTCCAAGTTCTAGGCCAAGTGATGTATTTCAGTTTATTATAACTCCACATAATCTCATAAAGTAAGCCTATTCCTTGCCCTCGCATTTTTTTGTTAATCCTGTGTTCATTGACCCTTTGTTTCTTTAAAAAGTTTAGATTATCTATGTGCTTATTGTTCTTTTTCGTTTTTCTTGGGTTGGGGTTATATATTGATATATAAGAGTGTGTGTGTGTGTGTGTGTGTGTGAGTTACTATTTGCTTTTGGTTTCTTTCTCAAATGAATGCCAAAATAAGAGGTGTGGTGGGTGTGGTTTATGGCTCAACTGCAAGGTGTAGTGGGTTCAGGGGCAAGTGTGAGGGGATCATCTGCAGGTCATGGCTCCTCTATTTGGGACCTGCAGAGGAAAGGAGCCCAGAGCAGACGGCTGTGCAAGGATCAGTTGTGACAGTGGGACATTGTGAGCTAGTGGGCAATGTGTAAATAAAGGACTGTGAAACTTTTAACACATTCAGCCAATTAACACTAAGATGTGTTAAAGAGAAAATATATCAACATACTCTGTTTGTAGTTCTTGTGCTTTAATTGCTTGTAGAGAGACAGTGCTTTTCTATACTACCTGAGCACTCACAGTACTTACTGTGTGTTTTTCTCTGCACAGATTCCTCTGGATTCCTTCCTTGGGTGTGCAGAGATGTTGCCCTGAGTTTGAGAGTGTTGTTTGGATTCCAGATGTGTGGATTCCCTTCCTATCTGGACCTCTGGATCACTATTCCTCTTTGCACCGTGCGTTTTTCCTGTTGAACTTTTAGTTAGGAGCCCTGTCTTTGAGTTTTGCTTTCCTCAGTGGCCTTGACATATATATTGACATA